AAAAAAAAAGACATCTAGAACACTATTGCACCAGTGTTAATAAATGTTAGAACACTCTCAGCTAAAATAAACTGGGAACAAAAACTCAGTTAGCTATGTGGCTACTTTCTATATGATCAGGTTCATTTTTTTTTTTAAGTGACATAAATAGGTAGGAGCGCCAAAAAATTCAGAGATGTCATAAGATATTAACATCCTATCAGTGACAATGGGATGATGTTTTGCGTGCCAGCCACTCTACTGGAACAAATATGAGTACTGAAACATGTAAAAACAGTATTTGGTTTGCAATTCTGTTCACCTTCTCAGAAAAGACAGAAGGAAACTGAGGACTACAGAACACTCTGGAATGGTGGTGCGATCAGCTTCAAGATTTTGCTTTCTGGGGAACTGATGTTTTGCGATTGGCTACATCTCCAAACCAAGCACTTTGTGAGATGCCTATAACATGCTCTCAAAATTCCAAATATGTTGGCCCCAAAAAATTGGTGATCCCTGTTTGTTCCACACCATGCACCATTTTATAATCATGCCCTCTTAACTTGATTTCTTTCTATGCTCCAGATCCTCAAACTTTGCCATCAATGTTCCGTTCTTGTAAGCTGGATACTTCTGGCCCTTCCTTATCTCTACCAAATTGTTTCCAAGTTGCTGGAAGTATCCAAAGCACATTTTGTCTTACCTCAACAATGAACTGATTTACAGAATTCCTCTTGAAGAACATCCTTTGTTCCCTCTTGTTCTGGCACAAGGATTTCTGTTGTGTGCAAACACCATCAGCCCCATACAAAACGAGAAAGACGTCTGCATCAGTACCCGCTCCAAAAAGGTCACTTGTATAAACAGTAACTTCATAGGGAACAACTGGCCAGATGAAGCGGAAAGCAAAACAAAATGGGCAATATGAGATATGCTCTTCTTCACGACCGCCACTACACATCCATCATCAACCAAATACATTTTAGCAGGGCTGAGAATCATGAATCAGTGATCACAAGCTCTGATCTGTGCATACACACGCACACACACACCCTGAAGCCTTGGATGTGTCGTCTCTGCTTTTCCAAATATTCCTGCTAAATTAGAATGATTTATGATATGGAAAGAAGAAGAAAAATAGCCCATTTTCTGTGTTTATGCATGGAATCCTAAACTAACCAAAGGGGCTGAGTTTGTACAACACAAACACCCCCCACACACACACACACATACACAAACCCTATCTAAGGTTAAAACTAAGCATAGCATATAAGAGTGCTTTGTCTCTGGATCTTAAACTGATCTGGTTAAGCATCTGTTTTGCAAGGGGGGGGGCATGGGGATATCACCAACTTCACTTCCTGTATGGAAGGATGATGATGATGATGATGATGATGATGATGATGATGATGATGACAACTACTACTATTACTACTACT